TGTGCTGGCTTGGTGATCGCTTTCTCCTGCCATGTTTGAATGTCATGGGTTCGAGCCCCATGTTGGGAGCCAGTTGAAATTAGATACACCACTCAGGAGGCAACAGCAGGCACTCCTCTTAGTCTGATGCTCTACCGACTGAGGCTTATATTTGTGACAACAGGGTGGCTACTAGACAGGAGTATATATACCCTAGCATTTGACCATGCTTTACTCATTGAGTCATATCCATGGGCTGTGTACCTCCTTTCATAACCATTGTCATGTCAACATACCTCCTGCATACCATGGTGTCAATCCACAAACATAGGCTGCATACGCTCCCACAAGCTTTGCATCCATCTCATCTTTCTTGGCGATTCGAGTCTCTCTGATCTCCCAATTCTGAATGTTCCGGTCTAACACGTCGTCCTTTGAAAATGTCGACGCATCTTCAACTATTTGACATGTACGTGAACTACGTTATTCCTCAACAGTTTGAAGGTATAACGTAACAATAATAAAAAATCGCGTGCATCTGTCAAGCTCTGCGAAGATGCGAAGCACGGATCAACGTCAAAACCTTATTGCCCGTCTCAACTTCTTTAACCTCCATTACCAGCCAATTGTGCAGATTTCAGTGAGATAGATACAAGATGACAGAGACATCAGCTCCAGCAAAAACAAAGGCGGCCGAGACGAGCAGAAGTACATTTGCGCCCAAGTCAACAGAGACAGAGGCACCGAAAGACACGACGACATCTCTGAAACAGGGTAAGAGCCAGGACGAAGACAAAGGAGGAGACGGGGACCTGCCGGAGGGTGGTGAGCCGGAAGGTGATGAGAATTTACCACACGAGGGCTCAGAAGAAGCATACGAGGAGAGCAGTGACGAAGGGGAATCTGGAAACGTAGGCTTGTCGTACTTGCTACAAGATGTAAGTTTTTCCCTACCCTTCCTCCACGGTGGACTTCCGTTCTGACTTTGCAACGCTCTTCGGCGGGTGATTATGTGGATGCCTATAAAAGCACGACGACGAAGAAGAATCAGAAGACGAAGATTTCCACGAATCTCAGGAGGAAGATGACGAAGACGATGATCCCGAAATCCAAGAATCTGACGAAGAGGGCAGCACGCCCGCTTCGTCAAGCGCCAAGCGCAAACGCGCGCAGCCGTCAGGCTCGAATGGGGCTAGCAAACGGGCAAAGTAGACCCTCGTTCCTCTCTCGCGTGCTTCGAGTAATCTCTATCTATCCCTTTCATCAACACATGCACTCGTGTGGTCTTCTCAATCACACTTCATATCAGGATTTGATCAAAACGTTTCTATTTCGTAAGGGTATTAAATGCATAGCTATAGACGGAGCAATCGCTGCATCAAACGTCCTTTCTAGTTACCCTTCAGAATAGTATCGGCTGCCTTCTCCGCCATTCCGTACAAAGTCGAACTCAAGTGTGCCGAAACTTGTACCGGCAAAGCACTTGCATCCACCACCCTGACATTTTGCGTACCGTACACTTTGAACCTTCCATCTACCACACCGCCCTTCTCGCGAGGCTGCATTGACGCTGTCCCGAGTTGGTGATTGTTAGCTGCGAATCCACTACCACCTGTGTTTCCGAGGACCCAATCCCTCCAGCGGCTGTAGCGACCTTTGTAGGTTCCATCTGGGATCAAGTCGAATCCGGGAGTTGTCTCACCGTTGTAGGTGAGAGATTCGAGGTTGTCGTTCTGCAAAACTCGGCGAGAGGCTCGGAGAGAGGCTACTTGCATGTCCATATCAATGGGCAGGCCGAAGTAGTTGGGATCTACACGGGGCATGTCAAATGGGTTTTGGCTTACTGCCCGAGTGGATCCACGCGAAAAGGGAAGGAGAGGCCAGATAACAAGACCGTAAGAGTTTCTCGGGCGCCCAGTATCAAAGAACAACTCCACTACGGGTGCTTGTTGATCAAAGATGAGGTTGACTGCAGAATTCCACTGCGCCATCAACCCGTCTTTGGACGCGACGTGACCTTGGGAGACAAGCTGGTCAGCCCAAGTGTTGAGGTTTGAGTTGATGTAGCTGCGTACATCGGTGGAGTTGGACATGATCTGCTGGATTGTTGGCATAGCAATGGTGTTGGATGGGCCGCCGCCGGAGTAATCAATGTTACCTTGCGAGCCGATGGTTGTGAGGGTTTGGTCCTGAAGGTTCTTGCCAACGCCAGGAAGGTCGAGTTTTTGATCGACGCCGATAGATGTGAGGTCGGAGCGAGAGCCAACCCCGGAACGCTGGAGGATGGCAGGGGTGGAGAGTGCGCCTGCTGCAAGGATGACTTCTCTTTCGGCGGTGACTCGTATTTGATTTCCATCACGGGATTGTTGGACGACGACACCGGAGCTGCGGATGCCGCTGTTGGAGGAAGAGTCCCAGATGAGGTTCTTTGCTCGTGTGCCAGTAAGGATGGTGAGGTTGGGACGGTTCTCTATTGGGGAGTAGTAGGCAGTGGCTGCAGAGACACGATTGTTGTTGACGTCGATAGAGGTGGGTGTATAGGCAACGGAGTTGGCGTTTCCTGAACACTGGTCGTCTACTTGCTGCACACCAAGGGTCTCACCGACAGCTCGGATGAAAGCAGCCTGTTGAGGACCAGTGAACATCCTCTTCCACTGCTGTGATGCTCCTCCCTGCACACTCCTCCTTCCGTTATTCCTGATAGGCGAAAACCTGATCTCCAAAGGACCATCGAATCCGTGCGTGCTAGCATCATATCTCGCCCCTGCAGCTTTCTGTTGAGCATTCGGAGTAACGAACTTCTCGCTCTGCTTCATGTATCCGAGCAATCCGTCCCAGTTCCAACCATCCGAGTACTGACCTACCAATTCACCCAGGGCATCATACTGTGCCTTGTGACCGCGGTTCCACGCCGCACCGTTGATTGAGGTGGATCCACCGAGAGTGCGGCCACCCTTGGGCTCCTTTGTTCGACCACCGATCTGGGGAGTGGTGGTGTAGCGGAAGGTGAGGTCAGTGGAGAAGGCTGCACCGTAGTTACCGACGTCATAAATTTTAGGGTTGCTGCGGTCGTCGTTGCCCGCTTCGATGACTAGGACGGAGACAGAGGAGCTTGCTGAAAGTCGGTTGGCAACGGTCAGACCGGCAAGACCACCTCCGACGATGATGTAGTCGTAGGCGGAGTTCGAGACGCGGGATGCGTCCGTAACAACGCCGGCAGAAACGCAGGTGAGGGAGAGGAAGAGAAGGGAGGCGAGGGTAGTGAAGGATTGGGTGAGATGGACCATTGTTCCGTGCTATCTTCCGTCCGGAGGGAAGGGGGGAAATTTTGTTGCTTGATGTCTAAGGGATGGATAGAGAGGGGATAAGGTCTATGGGGTATATCCTGTCCAGGATAGGGTTCGTTTTGTGGATGGTTGGTGACTGCTCAAGAGGGTGGCCTGTATACACATTCGCCCAAGATGGATGGAGTGGGGCGGGTTCGATGCTTCTCATTGCGAATGGTACACACTCAGTCAAACAATTGCTTCAAGCCCAGGAGGAGGTGGGGACGCTGAGGAACCCCACTGCGTACAATGGAGCTGCGGTCGAGGGATCTGATCACAACGGACTCCGCCCACCACTGTTTCGAGACTCTATTTCGCCAGCCCGCACACCTTCGACAGTCGGCCTTGAAACGTGATCGACTGACACATGGTACAACAGTTGCGAATCTCGAACTTGGAGGTGGCCAAAAGACGATTTGCGATGGGGAATCCCGAAGACGATGGAAGTCCGTTTTACAAACGAAAGAAAGAGGTAGTTTTCCGAGCATCTTCGGAATTTTTCTCTGTATACAGTTGGGCAAGAGCAAACAAACAGATAACGTGGGTCGTGGCGTTACAATAGAAGCAACCACTCCATTGCGGACTGGCGGTGGTGGGGAGAAGAATGATGTAGCCCTGCACCAGTGCGGCGGTGTAATTAGGAACGCGGGATCAAGCATCAAAAGCTATATCCAAGCGAAGCGAGACAGTAGTAACAGGAGGGTGCGGAACTCCGTTGTGATGAACAACGAATTGATTCACCGGCTCGCTCCTCTCCGAACAGCTGACGAGTCTTTCGTTTAGCGATGCGAAACGTGAGTTTTAGCGGCGGAAGAAGAACATGGCATGCGAGCATGAAACGCTTGGCCTTCCCGCGTGTGCCTCTTGCAACGATCGCATTAGCTGTCACCACCAAACCTCCGCTTCGCTTATTAGCGTTTATCCTCCCACTAAAGCCCCTCTCTCTCGTGGCAACCATCCAGGAGAGGATGCAGGACTGTGGTGGGACTTGGTCAGACGGCCTCACTTCACAGCCTTAGTTGCGCGCTGTTCTGTGTCGAAGACAGCAGTCTCGGGCGCGGGCAAAGAACTGTGAAACTTAGAGTTGACGGCGTTGGGGCTGATGATACGGTACTGTAGTGGTGTTCCTGTACCTGCCTAATTTGGTCTGGCAAACAGAAAATGAAAAACTTCGCTTGGATGGTCGGTCTTCAACGGTCCGACCAGACTGCGACACACAGAGACATTTGTCGCATCATCGGGCCTCGCTTTCTTATCACTGGAAGATGGTCTCGAACGCCCAATGACTCTTTCCGCAATTCCGACCAACCGCCCGGAGGCTTGGCATAGCTCATACTACATCTGCAGCCCATAGAACCGTGGCTGTGGATGGCTTGGCTTCGTGGCGGCGAAAAGGCCGAGTGCTCCATCCGGAGACGGTTACTATAACAGGTGCTACGAGCGCCACTGAAGAAGGGTTGATGGTTGCTGATTGAAGACAGTCGGGGGCTCATAGCGCAGACACAAAGCAAGCAAATTCAGCATTGTTGAAACTGGGGGGAACTGCGCTTGATAGAGGTCTGCCTGTGGAAGAAGCAGCTGGGCACCATCCAGATGATGCTAGTTAGTGCAAAAATGAGTTGGTGAAGGATAAAATTTCCATCGATATTCATTTGGCACATTATATTGTTTTTCTGAGCGTGGTGTTGTAACTAATCCCAGTTAGTACAATGGTTAGTATAGGGCACTCTCAAAGGTTTTAAACGGTTGTATCAACCAGGACTTGATCGTTCTGCTCAGATCAGGGTTCGATTCCCTGGCCGGGAAAACTTTTTGGGCCTTTTTTTGGCATCACTGTTCAACCTCGAGTTCAGACTTCTTCATTGTATCACTCCAGCTTTCTCCCGAGACTCAGACTTCGCACGAGCACAGAGGGTTTGGCGATTTTTCGCCCTTTTGAGGGCCTCCACAAACGTGGAATAGCGAGGGGAACACCCTCCAACTTTTTCGAACAAGACTTATCAAGAAATGGCCGAGTTATGGTGATTTTAAGGTTTTTGAGATTGTGTCACTGGTACTAATCAGGCATCGCGCCTAATCACTTCGACCTTTCGACGACATCACAACCCCTCACCAGACTCGACAACGACACTCCGCAGACCACAGCGCACCCCAACGTATCAAGAACCGATAGCATCGGCACCTCCGCAGGCTCCAAGGACAGCAGACGTCCGCAAATAGCTCGAAATCGACTAAATGAAACCGCGACTTTCGCAAGCATCGTCGATCACTCAGCCGACCACAGCGCATCCAAGGTCCGACCGCATCAGGCCCCTCGCAGACTCCAAGGACGGCAACACCACCTTCGCTCGAACTCGACTCAATGAAATCGCGACTTTTCGCAAGCTGCGCCACTTTAGCGACACTGGGGAGCTCAGCATAGCAATGCCAGGAAAAACCAGCACCCCTTTCGTTATGACCCATTAGCACATTCATCAATATCTCTCAGCAACAGCTCTGGAGGGTCTGATCACGACGGCAGGTCCTGATCACAACGGTGCATCCTGATCATGACGGCAGTGACACATCTCCTCTCCCCTGGCCTTCTCCGCTCTCCTCTCTTCTCTCGCACCCCTGACCATGTGTCTGCGACTCTCTTGGCTTTGGTGGGTGGTGCTGGTCTGCGGTTCTCTCGCTTGCCTCGGTTACCGGGAAACCACCTCTCTGAGGACCCAACTCTCCTTCCCTTTGCCACAGAGAGAAGTTCAATCACGGCCTAGGGGCATTTTTCTTCCCCCCTTGTGTCTTTTTGTACAATATCTGTTTCGATGCGGTTGCAATAAGTTGAAGTTATGCAAGACACCGCTTCGTCCGGGCTACGTTCTAGCTCCTTTCGCACAGGTGTATGGTAGATGCAATGCTTGAGATTTCTTGTGAACTATGGCTCCAGGATTGCTTGTATATATACCTTTGTTCCACCCATGAGAAGCCCCTATCGTCACCCTACTAACTGAGCGCACCATGTGTTGCCTCGGCGTTGTCTTCCTTGTGCCTCGGCGTTGTCTCCCATAGACGTTTCCTGATTGGTCGCCACACGTCGACCATGCATGCACGTCCCTCGGTCTCTCGGCGACTCGGCTTTCTCGCATGTCGGTTAAACTCCTTGTAATTCCGTCACATCTTTAACTCAATATAATAGGCCTTCTTTGGTCTGATATAAAAAAATAAAAAATAAAAAAGGCGAAACATTATGCCAACGCTACGAAAGCTAGTGAACGGCAGGTCCGTTCCTCTGGACAGTCGAAGCATCGTTCTGGGCTGGCCAGACTTACGGATCCCCACACCTCTTCACGCACGACTTTTACTTTGGCGGGATTTGACCATTCACCTCTGGACCAGACGACGTTTCGATGCCATCGCTGAGGACTACGCAACGATATCGCACCACGGCTTGACCTCAGCACGCTTGGTGCAGGCCATGCAGCACTGGTAGCCGAAACTATCACAGGCGCCTACCATTGCTGCAACCCTGACAAGCGCGTCGACTTTGTCAAACGGTGGATTGGCCGGGGCGATTTCCTGAAAGAACGGCAGGGAACCTTGGTCTTCCATACTATGACAGGTGCGCAAACAACAACTGCGACTTGAATGTCTTTGACTGATGATTCTTGGCCCCGTTCCGGCCTCATGACTTTATGCTCTTCACGCTCCACTCTATTGCGCCCAATCACTGGGTGTTTTCTTTCGCCTCTGACCTGGCCTCTGCTGCCTGGTGAGAATTGGTTATTAGCTATGTTGTTCGGCTCTCTCGCTCTTTTGATTGGGAAGTCACCTCTTTAGAGGACACATAGCCAGATGAACACGGAACGTTCGAGCCTGGCCTAGAGGCGTATTGGTCTCATCTCGTTTCATTTCGTGTACATTTACTTTAGCGCGTCCCTGTTGGTTTTGCAATCCAAAAAAAACAAAAAAACAAAAAAAAACAAAAAAAAACAAAAAAAAACAAAAAAAACAAAAATCAAAAAAGGTGACATTCGGCCAGGAAACACCTCCCTGTCGCTTGAACGATACACTTGGCACCACACGTTTGCACTTAAAATTAGGTCACGCTAATTGCGAATGATGGTTTGTGTCCAGAAGTACAGCTTTTTCAGCGTTGCGTTTCGCAACTCTTGTTTGTGAAGTGAAGTGAACGCGGGTGCGTGTGAGCCATTGAAAGGAATCCGGCACGATGCGAATGCGGAGCTGGAGACGTAGGAGGTCGAGTCCGACAACAGAGAAGCCTTGATGTCTTTGTTCGCTGTGCGAAAGTCTTGGAAGTGCATGGGCGTATGTGTGAGGCGAAAGCTCCGTTGGGATGCGGAGGCGGTGGAATGGTTCCGCTGAAACATGGGACTGCATTCAAGGCAGCGAGCCGAAGGAAGCTGCTTTCGCAAACGACCGTACCGTGGTTTAGTCCCATCCGCCAGCATAAGGATTAGCCTGCTGTTGCTGAGCATGGTACCCATTCATATCACCCATCCCGCCATTCATATCCATCCCTCCTCCATTTGGCATGCCTCCTGTCCCCGTACCATATAGATCCATCATTCCATTCTCCAACCCCCCTCCAGGTTGAGGATCATCCAACATACTCAACTCTTGAACGATCTGTGCCACTCTATACTCCAACAACCCCAATCCCGTCTCGACAATTTCCGCTGGATGCATACTCCCACTTGCCTCAACATCAAAATAGAACTTATCCGCCTTCTTATTGTAATCAAACGGAGCTCCCTCCTGTGGTGGTTCTTCCAACTCTGCATTCGGTCCTTCAGGCCATTCTTGTTTCGCATCGAATTCGTACCAGTATGTGGTATGGCGCAAGGCGTTGTGCGGGTCATATTCAAATCCGACTGCGGAACAGGGCGACCATTTGGCATGTTCCTTTGCAAATCCTTTACGTGCAATACAGCGAATGTCGAGTTCTTGGCCTTTGGACATTTTGACAAGCATAATGGGTGGGATGGATCCATCGTGGCCTACGGGTCGGCCGAAATCGGGGTGTTTGGATGCGGCGGGTTCGTTCATTGCATCGTCGTCATAGATTGTGGCATTTTCGATGGTGTCTGATCGTATAAGGTCGCGGGAGGTTACTTCGAGGTTACCTCGGGTTGTGCAACGGGCGCGTAATGTGAGTTCGACGGAACATCGGTCGCAGCCGTCTTCACAGGCACAGTCCTGCGAGCGTGCGAGCGAGCGTTTGGAGCGTTCGAGTGATTCGTGAGCGTGTGCAGCAGTGTGAGAGGTAGGGAGGACAGGTCAGAGCAAGAAGAAAAGAGAGTCAGATCAAAGCTTGAAGCAGCGGCAAAGTCAAAGCTTAGGCCGAGAACAAGAAACGTACCCTGTGATCAACCAAAGCCTTCGAACAATCCATACTCAACAATGGGACCATACCCAGTCTATGCGCCAAGAACTCATCCGGCAACACCGTTGTGTTATTCCTGATTTCCACCATATCGATCGCCACTGTTGGGATGTCTGCAATCATGATTCTCCGCAATGAGTTGGCAAAGGAAAGATCGACATTTTCGAGAATGAAGTTGGCATGGTCACGGTTGAGTTGTCGCACTGTGATCTTGGGCCGTAAGGCTGCTGCATCATATCTGCCGTTCATGATGTGTGAGAGTGAGTGTCACGACTCTTGAGTCGGACGTGCGTGCTCGGCGACGAGGTGCTGGGAAATGATGCTGGGTCGGGACAGGATGCGTCGCGCTGGTTCTTCTTTCGTACGCTTGGGAGACAAAGATGGTCTGTCGAGCTGACTGGGCAGCAGGCTACAGGTAGGCGTGTGACTGATATGAAACGAATGCACGAGCCGGAACGAAGGTGAAGAAGGATAAATGGTCGGTGATGGTGAGTGTGTCGTCTGCAAGAAGGAGCGTCACGGCAATATTCGATCTTCTTGAATTGCGACCCTTTCGTGGAGAAAGGGCATCACGTGATTTGGCGCAGAGCAAAGTCGAACTTAACATTGAGTGAAATCTTCGCGCCATACATTGATGCTTCTTCATCCATCATACTCGCTGTTTCACCCACATTGTCCAAGCAGACCACGGTCAGTGTTGTCAACGCGCATACATCAGAACATCTGCATTGCAATCTAAAAGCCGTGACTGGTCCAAATCTTGAATTCGTCGCCCGCAGCACCTCTACCGCCTCTTGCTGACTGCAGTCCGCGCTGCTGTTGCTGTGATTGTTGCTGCTGCTGCTGCGTTTGCTCCTGCTGCTGGTTCTGACGACGCAAGAAAGACCCATGTGGCGGGAGCGGCGAGCTGTGCTGTTGATTCTCCGAGCTCCTCTCGTACGCTAGTACCAGCTCCTTGAGCTGCTTACGTTCCGCTTCTTCCTTCAGCTGCTTCGAGCGTGTGTTGATCGCGATAGAAGCTGTCGAGGGGACGTGAACTTCGTGAGTGACCTGCTTAGAGCCCTTCTTGGAAAGGAGAGAGAACTTCATATGCGAGCTGTTGTCCTCGACAATGGTGCTGTGGGTCTGCTCATAAGGCTTCTTGCGAAGGGGAAGGCCGATCTCGGAAAGTCCGCCTGAGCCGGAAGCGTGAGAGTGAACGTGGATATGGCCGTGATTGTAGCCGGTGTTGGTGGAGGACAGTCCACCTCGTGAGAAGAGATGCATGCTTCGCGGGTTACTTGTAGCGGCGTTGCTGACTTGAGCCGGGGCAGCTGAAGAACCTGAAGAGCTAGACTCGGCCATCATTCTTGCGAGCTCGCGGTCGAATTCGTCGTCCGCTTCCTTGCGGAGAGCGAGTTCCTCGTCCATGCGGTGACGG